TGATATTGGTTACACAAAGTTGATCTACAATCTATTTTATATGAATTTGGAAATAGTTACACCCTACCCTTAAATAACCCTATTCTAAATTTATTTGAGTTTATTTAAACCAAATAAATCTATTATAGGTTTATTTGAATTTATTTGAATTTAATCTAGATTCAAATAAGCCTATTCTAATTTATTTAAAATTAATCTGAGTTAAATAAATAAAGTTTAATTAAAACTAGTTTCAATATACAGTATAACTAGTTCCAAATTCTAATTCTGGGTTTACTTAAGATTTAAATAAGCCCATTTTATTTTTATTTAAACCAACCCAAATTCAAATAAACCTATTCTAGATTCAAATAAACCAAACTTGGGTTTATTTTAAACCCAATCTAAGTTCAAATAAATTTAACCCAAATCTTAAAAACTAAGCTTATTTTAAATCTAATCTGGATTTTGAACATATTTTAGATTCGATAAATCCAATCCAAGTTCAAAAACTTGCAATTTGATTGGTTCATTTATAAACCAATATATAATATTTCTCAAATTCTGATAACCCTTCAAAATTGGTCAACATACATACCAGTTTTGACAGAGTAGACTGTATTAAAAAACAATTATAATATTTAGATAGTATTATTACTTTTGTATGTATTTTTAGTAGATAGATATTATTTAAATACACTACTATTGCATTCCAATATTTATCCATTGTAACTATTTTTTTTTTCTTTTATCAATTAAGCAGCCCTGGTAGCTCGATTTTGTATATCGTATAAATTATGATCAAGAATTTCTCGGCATTTCAAAAATTTCGAATCAACATTATCAGTTACAAGACTATATACCTGTGATAACTCCGGGAATAGAGCGTTACACGTGCACAAATAACATGAATAAAACATTTATTAATTGTTCACGATAAAGAATTATGAATGATCTTTATTGTCAACGCAGATTTGCACTAACCTGTTACATTTTGCTTTACAGTTTTCTTTTTTTGCGTTTTTTCAGGAGTTTTTTGTGTAGCCATATCGTTTGGGACCCATTGAGGAGTAACTGAACCGATTTCCACATTATCAATCAACGAATCAAATAAATCATTCAGAAGTCCCTACAAACCGATCATAAAAACTATATTAAGCTAAAGACTGTAAATATCAATAAATATTTGTTATACAAACCCGAATGTTCCAGGCCCAACTCAAACTAATACGTAAAATATGATAAGTTGAAAATGTCAATGGAAGATCCAAGGTTTTGATAAGGTGAAGGCGATAAACTTCACGTTTTTCCATTAAATAAATACGAATTTCTGATTTGTATTGCTGTTGAAAGTAACACAGAATGTAATTTTTTTTATCAAATTCTTGTAGTTTGAAATGCCATATTCCATATTTACTTACTTGAATCCCTATTGTATACAAGCACGTTTCTTTTTTGATTTTATAGTAATATTTCATTTGCATATCATCAAGGGCATCTTTTAGCAACCGTTGTAAGTGAAACTGATCGGAAGCTAGTTTGGTGAGATCAACTTTGTGTGGACCACCACAAGCCAATAAACACAACATCTCGTATGTTTCGGTAGAGCATAACATGTCTACCATGTGACCACGATCTACCCTTTCTTCTAAAATACTCTTGTCAGAGTTACGTCTTTGCAAAGAAGACTGTACTGTAATTTCTCCCCTATTGTAGTAACAAAGTTATCAAGAAAATTATATCTTACAAAATTGTAAATACAAATTACAACCAAATTATGACACAAACCATGCTACTCGAAAACGACTATCAAGTACCAAAGCACCTTGAAAAATTGGAATCAGATAATTTCCCAGCCATTCTCTCTCATGACAATCCTGCTGCATTAATGGATTGCGTTCAGATTCAAAGGCATTAAGACTATAAAGGAGATTATTTATAAGGTATAGAGAATACAGAAAGAAAGGAATGCAAGATTACTATAACTTACAATTGACCTACAGCCCATTCTACCCACCATATAATCTTTTTCCAGTCACCTTCTCCATACGATAAGTCTTCCTTGTACTCAGGTACCTTAATATTTCTTAAACTTTCCCATTGAACACGAGCTTGTTGAATACTTAGCTTCTACCAATTAAAAGTAATATATCCCTTGAGATACTGACAGACTCGTGAAAAAGGTATAAAAGCAATACTATATACTTTTTGTCGTCCAAACAAATGATCAAGGATTGGTTCTAATTCTCTGTGATATGTCACATTAATTAAAGCAGGACGATCGGCAATGAGTCTGGACCAATGTTCTGGTGTGAATTCTTTCGCAATTTTTGAAGTTGGGGAGAGATCAAGAATATAACTATTTGCAGGACTAAATTGGAACGTCAGCATAAAAAAACATTTTAGTGGACCAAAGCAAAAGCTTTTGTCAAGATAAACTTACTCAAATTTAGAAGTCGAATCTTTTTCGCGATACTCTTGCATAACAGAAGTCAAAGACTGCGATGTACTTTTTGAAGCTTCTTCGTCAGAAATCAAAGGTAGTGGAGTACTTTTTGATGCATTCGAAATTAGGCTTCTCTTTGCTATTTCACAAGGGGACTCGTTACCGTCACTTTCAGTCGAGTCGCATCCAGAATCTTGTTTTGTCCCTAAAGCATCTAGTATTTTCAGAAATTCGTTTTATATATTCATATTGATAATCATAAATTTAACATACCATCAGATTCAACAAATTTGCCATCACTAGTTGTATCCGCATCAGACTGGATATAGAAAAATATTAACTCAAGTACTAATACTATTAATCCTAAACATCTAATGTTAAACTTACACTGGATTCCACATCATTTTCAATCGACGGAGCTTTTTCAACACAAGCACTTTTTTTTCCTTTCTTGACTTTCCGCTAAATTCAATATAGATAGTTTTAACGGTTTCTAACTAAAAATAATAAAATGCATCTGTGGAAATATACCTTTTTATTCTTCACATGCTCTGGACCTGATCCAGATTCTAACGCCAAGTCCGACTCAAGTCGAGAATCATTACCGGGTCCCTAAGAGGTTATAAAAAAATTATATATTTGTAACTAGAGAATATCCCTTCATAGCCATGTAATAATGTTTAAAGACCCACCAGTCTTTTCCCGTTCTTAGAATCAGTTATCGCTCCAATTGTTCCGTCGTTAGATACTACCCCACCATAGATAGTTCCACCACGTCCAATTTCCGTAAATGTCGGTTGGTGTATGTGAACTTGTTTATGTGAATGTTCCTTCTCCCATTCTCTCGCCATTCTTCTATCAGGTCGAGTACCCTAACATGAAGCTCAAGATATTAGTAATTTCGTTTGATTGGAGGTTATCTACGAGTGTCAGCAGTCTTAAACATCAGGCAAACTTAGCGTTCGCCTATGTTAGACTAGCACCCTGTAGTCTTGACTTTAAACACAGGCGAGCTTGGCGATCACCTGTGCTTGACTAGTGCCGGTAGTCTTGGCGACTTTTAAACGTCAGGCGAGCTTGGCGATCCCCTGCGCCCCAACACTGTCGTGGCTAGGCTTGGCGACTTTGTATGGTAGACGAGCTTGGCGGTCTCTACCACGCCACATATCAAGTCTACGCTGGAATTATCGTGACTTCTATCGCAAACTTAAAAAACTCGCCTGATTGTAATTATCGAGCAACTTCTGTGCTTTCTTACGTTTTCGATTTTTTTCACTTTTAATAATCGTCTTAAGAGATAAAATGTACTCCTCTATTCTTTGTCGATACGATCCCAAATTACATTCATTAAGGAAATCACGAATGTTCCAGTTCGATGATTTTCGTTCAAAGTATTTGTGTGGTTTTTTAACAAGTAGGCATGGCGTTTACGCGTTTACTAATTTCCTCCAAGTTTCTATTGGTTCTATTGGCCATCAATAAATCGAATTTTTGATTGGACAAAATAATAACGTGACCTCACAAAACCAATCAAAAATAATCGACTTTAATTTCGGAATTTTTATAAAATAATAATCTTTCAACTTGGGAGTTTTTTTTTTAATAAAAATAATAATAAAAAAATTCGCAAAAACTTTTTTTAAAGTATACAAATTGCATATAATTTTTTTTTAATTATTTTTTATTATTATAAATTTCTAAACTTGACTATAAAAGTCGATAAAGAAACATTTTACAAAAAAAATTCTAAAAATCACTCAAGCCCAAAGAAAAAACATACTAAGGGGACATCCATAATTTACGTTAAACTAGTACAGTATTGTATAAAAATAGAGACCTTGAAGATAATATTATTTTTGTATTATCTTTAGGATCCCTATAACAATACTGGTTTAACGTAAATTATACCCTGGTCACTATATCAAGATCGCAGGGCATAAATCAGTTATACCCAACTGCCCAGGATATAACTATTACTTATGGACGTCCCCTAAAACTCATCAAAATACAGTTAAAAAACACATTAAAACTCTACAAAGAAACTTTGCAATAAAATATTCTAAAACCTATAAATCATCTTATATCTGATAAAGAGAATACTGTTTATACTATATATTGTAAATGATTATAATGAATTATAAATTGCAAAAAAAAAAAAAAACTGTAAAGTATTTTATAATATAGTGAATAAAAAGAATATACTATTAGAAAATTCTGTAATGATTAAAGAAAGTTTTATAAAATAATAAAGAAGGCTCTAGGGCTCCTATCGGATCAAACTTTAGGGTGTGTTTGGGTTCGGTTTGATTTTCAAACCAAATCCGAACCAAAACTTTTTTTGAAACTCAGTTTGGTTCGGTTCGGTACCAAACTTTTAGAGTTAGTTTGAATTCGGTTTGGGTTCAGTCCGAAAGTTTGCAAACATGTTCGGGTTCGGAGCTGTTTAACAGAATGATTTTGATGTAATGGTAAATAAGTATTTATGGGCAAAAATTTTGAAAGAAACATTGAGATTATCATGTAATATGACGAATATTAATATTAGTTTCTATAACGATCCAATAAATGATTGCGGTTTCACGCGCCTATGGTGTTTTACACCATAGGTCCCATTTCTCAAAAACGTACTAAATAAACAGGATCGGGTCCTCTAAGTAAAAATGTTCAGGACCCCAAAAACCTCACAAGAACTGAGATCGGGCCCTATTGGGCCCTTATATTAGCTCTATATTATATTATATAAAAAAAAAAATTATAATAATTCAAAAAAAAAATCAATCAGCCGATCAAATACAGTCGTTCAATTATATTTAATTATTTTAATTTTAATTTTAATTTCTTATTTTTTTTTTTAAGCGTAATTCTAATTACCATCCTAACGACTAAATAATTCGAATGAAATTATTTGGGCGTAAAGGTAAATAAATACTTATGTTTTTGTTTGTGAACTTATTTTGTTAATCCCTTCCATAAACTACATATCGGGTAAATTACTGCGCTTTTCAAATTATCACACGGAAATCAGCACTTTCTCATAAATAAAATGTCAGAAACAAAAATTCTCAAGATTCCCCATTATATTTCGATTCTCCAGCATAGAGTTTTGACCCGGGTCAGAAATAGTGACCCGGACGGGTCAGATATTTACCCGGGTCATGACCCGGGTCAACGGGTCATGTGGACAAATTGAAGTTAATCGCTCTTCAATTACTGAATTAGGGAGATAATCGAATTTTATGAATCCTATATACAATATCTGCATATTATCATTGTAAAACTAGAGCTTCGATCCTATTTTTTCAGGACTATCCGGATTGAATTCACGTAAATTCGAATTTCAATCCGGAAAAATCATTGATTGACCAATCAAAATTGCGAATTTTGAAGCTGGTAGAAAAAAAATAGTAAATACAGTACCAGACAGCAAAAACCATCCATTTTTTTAAAAAAAAGCGCCAAATTTGAGAATTTATAATGATTCTGATTGGCTAATTTTGTGTAACAAAAATTTAGTTGGTTAAAAATATAAAAATGATTTTTTTATATAATAAACGCCAAATTTTGGTTTTTAAATATAAACTTATAAATTTTAAGCTTTAATAACTATGATGCTGATTTGTAAATGTGGAAATTTTCATTATTATATAGTTATATAGTACATATACATGTACATACATATCAGATATTAGATATCTAGCTGCTATATAGTATATATGTATGTACTATACAGTATATATGCAACCTTTGCAAATTTTATAGTTTCAAAAAATAAAATAAACATTTAAATATACTAGTTAGTAATTACAAAAATGTATTTAATAGACTGCATAGAGGTTTGATTTAAACATTTTAAACAGAAATTTATTTTGGTACTAATAACTATTTTGCCAACAATCAGTTTTACTAATATAGAGCTTTGATTTAGAGATAGAGTTCATTGATTTAGTGTCAGCTAAGCTAGATATTAAAATTTACCAAATTCTATTAGTTAAGGTAAGCTATTCAAGTTTACGGATACTTATACTATAATTATACTGTATTTCTTAATTTTAATTTATTTATTTCAATTTAAGATATCTTTATAAAGTATTTTTAATCAATCAAATGTGGATAAGTAAGATATAGAACAATATAGTGGGCTTATTATTCTAGTTAACAAGCTCTTATTCAAATTATCTTTTATCTTTTCTAATGTGTTAGATTATCAAACTAAAGTAAATAAAGTGATTGTTTAAACAATTTCATATACTATATATATATTTTTTATTAAAAATATTAGTTCAATAATAATAAATGCACAAGTAAATAATAAGTTAGCTAGCTAATATTCTTTATTATTTTTTATATTTGCAAAATTTCAATGAAATTTAAGAGTAGAGTTAGGGATACAGAATATCTGCGATAGCATAATATGAGCATAAACTTGATATTTATCGCATAGCATATGCGATAGCATATTTTATATAAAGAGCAGAATTCGCATAATTATACA